GGACCAACGGGAGTCTGCGGCTTGACGAACGCAAGATCCGATCGTCCGGATCAGGGTACTCCCCATCGCTCATATGCTACAGGACTGTACACTGCCTGCACTAGGACACACTCAGTTGCCTACCGCACCGTAGTGGTCAGACTGATTTAAAATAAATAAAAATAATTAATCGATGGCATAATCAGTTGATACACAGTTGGGTCCCTCAGGTAAGTCCAGATTCCTACAAACGAAACTATTTTATTTGACTACTCTATAAACAGAGAGCAAATACAAAAAAACAAATAGTTCTACCTATGCTGTCTGTCATATGTGTTAATGGCAGTAACATCTAACTAATCAAAATAAAAATAGCATCATTTGTGTGGATGTTCGCAGAGTGGAATGAAATCTGCTCCTCCCTCAGTTCTCCTTGATGTCACTTGACATCAGCGTTTCTGAGTAAGCCGAATGGTGCTGGTGTCTAAAGGTGTGCACGACCCACCCCTGATCCCCAAGTCAATGCTGAGCTGGCCAGCCCTGCACCATATTTACCCTCGCATGCAGCGAGTCTTACACCGACCAATTGGCTGATCAAGAGGCAGTTTGAGGACGGCCCCTGAGGTCCTCAGGAATTATTTAACGTTGCGAACAGGACGACGACCACAGCCACTGGAAGGTAACCCATCGGTATTTATTTGTAGACGTCCGGTTCTCGTCTCCCCAGTAGGGCTGGCTTGCCCCTCATGACCTATCTGTAGTGCAGCAGGCAGACAAGGGACAAAGCAGCAAAGCATGCGTGCTCTACTCCCGGTGGGTTGGCATGGTGATCGCGACCCAGTGCTTTGTCCAGGGCCCTTCAGATGTCAACACTCTCCTTCCAGATGCTCCACATGAATAATGCCGACTCTCAAGGTTGAGCGCACTCGACTCCTCACATGAGAGGACTCTGTTACATCTTCGACGCCACACGGGCCCTACCGGACCCGACTTAGGGCCAGAGGGACACATTAGGGCCTTAAGGCCCAGACTTGGGGGTACAGCAGCCCGGAAGGCAGCATTTTGGACCAGACCTGACGGGCAGGCCCAAACGACATTACCGTTTGGGCCTGGCGGCGCTCTTGAGGCTGCTGCCCGCCGGTCTGATCTGAACCGACGATCTCGACGGTTCAGATCACGGCCAGGCCTCACAGCATTGAGGCCAGCCTCTGCTTACCGGTACTAAAGACCGGTCCAGCCTCATTCTGAGGCATCAAGCAACTGGAAGCTGCGAGAGCGCCAATTCGTTTCGGTTCTGCAGCAGGAGCGCAGCGCTATTCTTAGCACAGCATAGAGGAGCAGCAGCAGCAGCGAACGAGGAGCCAGACAGCGAGCAGCCATAGCCGTACTTCGGCTCCAGGCAGTTGCGATAAACCAGGTACTTGGGGGTGAGGTCGTCTCCTCCCTCCACCGTCCCTGGTTCCTCTCCTCCTCACCTCTCCCCTCCGCTGTTCTCTTCTTCTCTTCTTCTTCATCTCCTTCTCTTCTTCTTCTTCTTCTTCTTCTCCTTCTTCAGATGGAGACTTGATACTAGTTGGACAGAGATCAGTGTTGGACTTCGGTGGTAAGAGGCTGTGGTACTTACCGGATTAGAGACTTGGAGATTGTTGGGGTTGATACTCGGCGGCATCACAGATTTGACACCGGTTACATTAGGACTCTGTACCTCCGATATTGGTGACTTATTGTCCACGACATTCTTATTCGATGACATTTTGGATTACCATATCGGTGACCTACTGGATTCTATCTCGGTGACATCTGGCGCTACCTACATCTCCCACCTCCTTCGTCTCTCCTCCCACCTTTCATCTGTGTATGTGTGTACGGGGCCTGAGCATCGTCTATGATTGGCTCAGACCCCACCATCTCACGATTGTTTGTGTGTGGAGTGATATCTGTGTGAGTCAGTCTATGTGAGTCTATGTGAGTCAGTCCATTTGTCAGACTTCTGCTGCATACATGCTCATCCTATATTGGTTGATCTCTTGGTTCTGCCCATACTTGTTGAAGTACTCACAAGTATGCAACAACTCTCAATACAGAACACACATCCTCACGGTAAGAATTGTCGAAGAGGGTAGATCAGGTTAAGAGCAACATACCTCAAAATAGCTGCCCCCAACCACGGATATTCGCGCCAGATGTCCTGACGTCAATTGCGATGACCAATCATTGCCTTGGCACAACCAACATTACACCCCTGTTCCACCTCATCGTCAATCACACATCAGATAGTTCTCATCACACTGCGAAACACCCAATATTACCACACAGCCTTCTTGGTGATACCCCTCTCCTCCTGGGTTGCCTGCTTGCCTTCACCCTCCTCACTGCACGCTACCCACGGTCGCTCACCCATCTAACCGCTTGCATGCACCGCATAAGCAGAAGACACGCCAGATGAGCGCAACATACCACAGATCTGATACCAAAATGCAAGGAAAATGAGCAATGGCGAAATTCAGAAACCAATCCGCATCATACACATGGAACCAGATAGTTTTGACCTCGAACCAAAAGCAGAATTGCAACTCGAGTTACAGCAAATAAGAGCACAGCGAAGCTCACAAATGACAATGTTGGAATAGTCTCGTCATCATCACCAATGAACCGATGTCGATTCCCTATCTGGCGCTCAGCGCCCAGACTACAAATGGCAGATCCCATCTAGCCTATCTATAATGCCGCCGGTGACGTCAACAGATCTCGGCCAATGCCTTTCGCATCGAGCACCAGGTATGTCCCTTGCTTCACTCACAACCTCGATCCTCCACACAGATGCCAGACGCACCCGAAGACTACCATGTGCCCCATCCAGCAACGTGCAGGCCAGCTTGGCTATGGCTGCCTGCTTCTTCCCTGCTCGCCCGTGTGCGCGTAGGCACTCGCTTTAGCAGCTGGCGCAGCAGCGCTTGCACATAAGCAGCAAGTGCCCAAATGCCAAATGCAGAGGCAGGCACTTTCCTATATGGAAGTGGCCTGCCAGCTGCGTGCTGCCTGGCTGCACTGGGCCCCTGCCCAGAAGCTTCAGGTAGGCCCCAAGTGGCCTGAGGCCAGAATATTCCGCAGGGCCCCGGGTGGTTACACGTGTCCAATTGCCGTGCGTGCTGCGTGCAGTTTGTGCCTCGTGTCTGGCCCAGGGCCTGTTTCCAGAGAACTCAGGAAGGGTCTAGAAGCCTTCCACCTGATTCTGTTACCCACGGCCTAGGTCATTCAACCAACTGACGCAGCATAATTGTCTGGGCCCCACTCTGCAAAAAAGGACAAAATAGCTAGGCTGGTCCCCGGGCCGCCTGGCGGCCTGGCGGGCACCTGGCCGGTTGTCAGCCCCGGTTGGCCACCAGGTGCCCCCAGCGCATCAGTGTAGGCTACTTTTTTAATTTTTTTTTCGGCGCTGGGGCTCTTTTCGCCCTCACTGCAAAAAAAAAAAAAACGGGGCCGGCAGGCCCGATTTCATCGATTCGAAATCGGGCCCCATCTGGATCGTCGATCTCAAAGATCGACGGCCCAGATGGCCGCGATTTCAAATTGGTGAGGGCGGGAACTACCGCCCCCCGTTCCCTTCCCCATTCTCACGTTGTACCCCCTACCTTTCTTCCCCCGAACATAACGAACCGTAAAAATGAATGTGTACGAGTTGTACTTCCGGCCAGATTTCGTGTTGTGTTCGGGAGAAGACGGGTCCCCCCGTTCCCTGCCCTGCAGTTCTATAGCTCCGCCGGACTTCAATGCGGAACTTCGATGCCGCCAGCACCTGCCAACGCCCGCCACCGTGCGTGAACCCGCCGACCCCGCCGTCGCCGTTCCCCGCCATCGACAATGTAAGGGACTTGGGAGGGGCGGGGGAGGAGAGAGAGAGAGATCTTCTTCTTCTTCTTCTTCTTCTTCTTCTTTATCGTTGTCGCTTTTTCTTCCTCTTCTTCTTCTTCTCCTTCTTCTTCTTCTTCTTCTTCTTCTTCTTCTTCTTCTCTTCTTCTTCTTCTCCTCCTCCTCCTCCTCCTTACGCGCTCACCATCCGATCACCCACCTGCGCCTTCCCGACGTCATCCCCCCCCCACCCCCCTGATTGTCTCGCTTCCCGCTACCTTCCCACTCCCCCACTTCCGATCGTCTCGCTTCCCGCTACCTTCCCACTCCCCC